ACACTCGTGCATGATGCGCTCCGTCAACATGCCAAGCTTGTATAGCTCACCAATGAATTGGACGAGACCAAGACCGCGACGCTTGGCGGCAGCAGCGATGTAGTACTCGTCGGAAAGCATGGCGGCCTCGTTCGTTTGGGGCTTGCCCTCGTCTTCCTCCGGCTTGGTGGGCAGGTTGACCTTCCAGCCGCGCTCGAACTCCTCCTGACAACGGTTGAGAAGGTACTTGCGGAACAAGGCACCACCGCTAACAACGACACCGTTCTTGTCCTTGATATTCTCATCGCGGATCTCAGGGCTCATCGTGTCAAGCATACGCTTGCAGAACTTGGCGTACATGGAAGCCCAGTGAGCCTCGTCGGTGGCCTTCTCGAAGGTGAGCTGAATCACCTGGCGGAGAGTGCGGCCATCGGACTCGTCCTTGGACTGGCCCGCGATGGCCAGAATCTGATCGGCAATCTTGTCGAACTTCTCCGGAGTCATCTTGTTGAGTGCAGCCTTGACCTTGCGCTGAACCATCTGGGGATCCATGTGGTCGCCGCCAGGAGTAGGTCCTGAAGCTGAGGGGCCCTTGCCGACGCTGGTCGGCTTCCAGCCTGAAGCGGAGACAGTGATGGGCTTGAGCTCCATGCCAGCCGTGAGAGGCATGGTCTTGGCTGCCTGCGCATCCTTGGCGTTGTAGTCGTTACGTCTGCTGCCACCACCTCTGGCAGAGCGGGTACGGGGAGAGTTGGGACCCATGTTGGAGGAAGAGGGAGTGCGGTTCACCATCTGAGGACCAGGGAATTGGCGGAAAGTGCCCATATTGCCAACGGGACCGCCACCTGAGCCCATAGCTGCGTTAGCCATAGCGAACCGTTCAGCAGAAGTCGTGCCGCGGACGTTGTTAGAGGGACCACGGAAGCTGCCCATAGCACCGACTTGAGGTGCAGCGGCGCCACGTTGGGAGCCACCACGTCCGGAACCAGCACGAGGGGTAGAAGCAGAGCGAGAACCATCGTTGTCACCAATGAGGGACTTGACTTGCTGGTGGAACTCTGTGGAAGGCTGCTCGGTGAAGACCTTCTGGAACTGCAGCAAGAACTGAGCATCGTACTTGAAAGTCTTGCCCTTCTTGGCGACGGCAGCGTTCAAGGCAGGGTTGGGAGAGCTGATACCGGCAGGGTACAGGTCTTGGTTCATGACAGTCAAGAATCGGGCAGACTTCAAGGACTGAAGAGCAGCGCTGGGTTGGGGCGGCTCAACAGGCTTGGTGTTGAGGGGAGCCAAGTTGAGAGGCGACGGCTTGGGGCCGCGCTTCTCGGTGGGAGTAGCCTTGGGAGCGGAAGCCTCGGTGGGGGTCGAAGCCTTGGAGTCACCGATGCTGAGGTTGGACAGCTTGTCGGCAACATCGCCAACCTTTGCGGGCTCGCTGTCACCAGTCTTTCCAGCGAGCAGCTCGGCGACGGAAGGGGTGTTTCCGCCCTGTGCACGCTTTCTCTCCTTCTCCTCTTCGAGACGTTCCATCTCGCGCTCAGCCTCACGGAGCTTGCGGTCAGCCTCAGCAGCGTTGGTAGCCTTGTTTGCCTCGTCAAGCTTCTTCTGTGCCTCCTTCTCGGCTTGCTTCTTGGCGGCGTACTCGGCAGCAGCCTTCTCGCGACGAGCATCTTCCTCCTCCATTTCGCGAATCATGCGCTCCATCTCGTCCTCCTCATCGGCGGCAGAGGCGGCAGGCTTCTCGGCAGGCTTCTCAGCCGCCTTCTCAGCCTCCGCCTTGGCCTTGGCCTCAGCAGCCTTCTTCTCTTCCTCAGCGGCAGCAGCCTTGGCCTTCTCTTCCTCGTCGGCCTTGCGCTTCGCTTCGGCTTCTTCCTCAGCCTTGCGAGCGTCTTCCTTTGCCTTCTCCTCAGCCTTGCGGGCTTCTTCCTTGGCCTCGGCAGCCTTCTTCTCTTCATCAGCGGCCTTGGCCTTAGCATCGGCCTCTTCCTTCGCCTTGTCCTCGCCACCCTTGGCCTGCTGGATCTTGGCTCTCAGCTCATCCTGAATCTCTTGACGAGTCTTGGGAGTAGCCTGGCTGTCTGTGCGAGCGTGGGAGGGCGTTGCGGACTTAGGGGGAGGAGTAGGTGTAGAGGAGACGATGGGGGGAGTCTTGGACTGCTGGACGATAGGAGGGGCAGGCGACGACGGAGTCTTGATACTCTTCTTGAAGTCAACCGCTTCGCCGGCAGCGTTCTTGATAACAATGGCGGCACTCTTCTTGGGGCGGACGAAGTTGCCCGATGACGCGACAACTGGGGGCTTGACTTGTGCGTTCTGAGGCTGGGGAGTACCAGACACAACAACAGGCTGGCTCGGCTGGCCAGTGCTAGAGGAGGGACGCTCAGAGTGAGAGGAGGTGCGCGACATGGCAGTCGGCGCAGGCTGGTGGAATGCAGGCGGGGCGTAGCCAGGCTGGAAAGCCGGGGGCGCTCCAGGCGAGGGCATGTATCCCATCTGGTTATAGTAGATGGGTCGGCCAAACTGGTCGAACTGATGGTTTGCCTGGGGAGGGTAGCCGTACTGTGCCTTTGTTTGAGTTAGCAATCTTTCGTAATTACCGCTTTCAGGAGAGAGATCGATAGGGGGGACTGGGGGACGAGAGAGTTGACAAAAGCCACTAGGTTCAGTCGACACGTAGGCCAGCTCAGTGATGCCATGGTCGCCAAAGTCTGAACAGTAACTCGGGTTCAGACCGTTACGGTCGGCCCAAAGCTGCTCTCCATGCTTGTTATGGCGCCGAGGTCTGCTGGAGTCGAACGGCAAGTCATGCGAGGAATCCACATGTCTCGACTTCACATGGGAAGACTTCTCCCAGTGCTTCAGGTTCTTCTTTTTGCTCTTGAAGGAAGGAACGAAAGCAGCACCCAGATTCGACGGAACAGAAAGATCTTGAAAGGGAGGGGGAATTACATTTGGGGGCGGGCCCTGCTGGTAATACTGAGGAGAGGGAGCTGGCATCGGCATGGGATGCATCTGCGCCGGAGGCATGTTCGGGGTTCCGGGCTGGGAGTGGCCGGGCTGAGAATGGGCCAGAGCAGGGCTTCGGGCCGGCTGAGGCGAGTTCGGGTAGGGTTGCATGGGTCTTCCGGGGTGGAAGGCAGGCGGCATACCGCCGCGGCCCTGACCGTTTCTGTACTGCTGTTGGTTCGGGGGGAATCCCATGTTAGCCTGGTACGGGGGCTGGTGAGGGTTGAAACCACGACCACGGCCGCCCTGGGGCTGGAAACCTCCACGGCCTGGGCCTTGGTTAGGACCAGGGGCGTCGCTGTGCTGAGAAACGCCGGACTCGCGTCGGATGTGCTGGCCGGGCATCGCAGGAAGAGCGGCCTGGCTCTGGGGAGTAGAGGCTTGTCTCATGTGGCGCTGAAAGAAAAATTGCAAGTCAGTGTCGCGAACGCAAGCAGGGTGTCCGAAGAGGACGGGACTGATATCACTTACATCGCCATCGCTTCCGAGACTGCCAAAGGTCATCGCGTTGGGCTGAGCCATGCCCGAAGGGGGACGGCCACCGCTAGCAGAGGGCTGAGGGATAGGAGAGGGAGAGTGCGCGGGAGAAGGCACTCTCTGGTTGGATCCAGGAATAGGGATCGGAGCGGCGGTAGCTTGAGGGGTGCTGTGCGCGACAGCAGGAGAGTTGTATCCGAACTGAATGCCGGGCTTTGCACCACCGACGGGTCCGCCGTTGGGAGCGAAGCTGTTGGGGCCGTTGGCGCTGAGGGTAACGGAGCTCTTGCGAGCGTGATCGGGTGCGCTTCCGTTCATGTTGTTGGCGGAAGAGCCGTGAGGGACGGCAGGGGCAGCAGGCACAGCAGGTGTGATAGGAGGACGTCCATTTACTGGTGAAGGAGCAGACGGCTTTGCATTTTGCGCAGAGGAGCCACCGACCACCACTGGTGGGTTGGATCCCGTCGCAATCAGCGGCGTGGAGGCTTGCTTCTTGTTCGCACCGGCAGCGGAAGCATATGAAGGAGCCGAAGTCGCAGCAGAGGGGGTGGGCGCCGGGTTGGACTGAGGGCTGGCAGTCGAAGTCATATGTGGAATCTCGTCGTAGCGCGTCTGTTCGTGTAGAAAGTAGCGTTGATGAAGAACCGTGTCGAAACGAAGCTGACGTCGGTGTCGGATAGTTGTCCAAGGTGCGGCAACTGGGACGATCGCTCGGGTGCCGAATCACGGATTCGATTTCGGGTACGGTTTTGGTGACGGATCGCAGAAATTCAATTAATGAATGACCGTGTCAAGAAGAACTCCAAGGAGAAAAAATTCCTCGCAAAAAGATGGATCGGATCGTTTCGGAGGTTGCGAAGTCGACTCGGTCCAAAAGGTGGATGCGGGAGGAGAGATTTTTTGTTGTTGCGGGTGAGTGCTCGTGGATTCCTTGACGGCAGGAAGGAAATATCGCTAGGCGATGGGGGTGGAGAGGGGGGCAACAAGGTCTGTCTGCCTACGCAACGGGTCTTGGAAGAAACCAAATAAAGGTGTCCTTTGACCGGCGGGTACTGCAGAGGAGGAGAGAGTCGTCTTCTGAAGGGTGAGCTACAGAAGAAACTGTCGATTCGGAAAGGGTCTCTCTGGTGAAGGAAAAATTATTCCACCTGGACCAGTTTCGGTGTTTGTGGTAGGTTTAGAAGGAGAAACGACCAAAAAAATTTTGGGCGACGAGATAATATGGCGTGGACCTGGGTGTGAGTGGGAGGGAAGGACCCAGGGAAAAGGTACATTGCGTTAAGTACCTCCTCATAAGCCCGCGCCGCGCCCACACCCGCCTCAGACCTTTTTCTCCATTCACTCGCCCGCCCTCGCCCTCTCGCCCTCGCCCTCACCTTCCAGGTACAGACGAAAGTCTATTGCCAAATCAGTGATGAAGCCATCTTGGTCTCCATTTGTTCGCTGTTTATTTGAACAGATGATCGTATATCTATCTCATCTCACCATTTCTCACGTGGGTGTTGGCATCAATTCACTGAAGCGAGACCTACCTTATTCACTCAGGCGAGGTGAAGCACCCGCGCTCCCTCCCGAGTCCCAACCTCTACGGGTATCCATACCCCAGTGAAGAAGGCCCCGACCCATCCTTTTTTGGCGGGATGACAGTGCGTTGCTAACCAAATCTCTCGCTTATCAACACGGTATCGGACCCGCAATTGCCACGCACAAAAGACAGTGTGAGGTGGATTCCATTCGTGGAAGGGCCCTCTGATTTCAATTATCTTTCCATTCATCACTTGCCTATCGCTCTCTCAGTCTGGCGGCATAACCCTCTTGGTCGGTCAGCTTACACAGGCAGCCAAAGCATTATTCATCATCAAAGTAGCCTGTTTTAAGGTAGGTAGGTAATAAGGTAGCCATCAACAGGTCGGTGCTGAAGTTGAGGCAACGTCAGTAAAGAGCCATCTCATTCAGCCTCACTTCTTCAGCTGGCTTCGTACTCATATGTATTTTGATTGCCTGACTGAGCATGTTGTCTTTGTCTTGTGTTCCAAAGCCTAGGAAGGTGCATGCCTAGGTAGTAAGGTGTTCTTGGGTCAGCCTGTCTTGGATCCGTACAGAAAGATTGATACCTGAGCAAGGAAGGCACCTTGGGCAGAGCAGGCACAAAGAGTGCACAAACAATGCCCAGCTGGCTGGCTGACTGACTGCTTCGCCCCTGCTTCCTTTCTCGTTTCTCATTTGCACGCAAGTTCACCATGGTCGAGAAATTTTGCAATATACAGAATCGAAAAAAAGTGAAAGAAACGGTTGAATATCATATCCGTGATATCAAGGTCGCATCTCCATATCAACATCTCGCCCTAATCATGATATCATCCCAAGATAGCTTCACGTTGGTAGGTTTCCTAATCAGGGCTTTATTAGTGGAAGATAACTTGGAGAGTGCCCTGTGACTGTCGTCCCTCCGACGCGCCGGGTGTTGGGTCTGATTACTTGCATGCCTTTCCCCAACTTCCGGTTCTACCTGGGCCGGACTCAAGTCTCAAGCGTACCTTAGCTTGGGGTACTTGGAAATACAACGAGACTGATACAGACCACGGAAGGGCACGCACCACGTCAATTCCAGGTTATTTCCTCAGGTTGTCCTCACTCGCCGGCTAGGCTTGGATACGACACGGAGGAGTTACAGTGCCACAGTGCCACAGTGGTAGCAGATGTGGTTAATCATGGAGATGCTGGGGGCCAGACCCTTGTTCCTCTTTACAATCTGGGCAGCAAACTCTAGGACCCTTTTCTGTCCTCCTTTTTTTTTTTTTTTTTTCCTTTGTCATTGTTTTTTCTTCTGTCTACGTACGGATACCGCTCCTGAGTCCTGTCCTGCCCACTCCACCTCCATCGGCATAGGGGCCTCTCGCAGCAACGTCCAATCGACCAACCTGCCTGCCTCAGAGTCGCTGTACAAGTCATCGTGAAACTCCGGTGTTCGGCACCTGGCGGCAGGCTGTGTGTGGAAGTGCGAGCTTTGCATGCCAACGGGTGGAGTCGAATAGCCCCTCCCGCCACATTCTTGGGAAGGTCAAAAGTCTTTCGAGTTTCCACGGCTGGAAATTGGAGAAAAGGGTGTTGAGCGAAAATGTCATTATCAGATGCCTAGGTCGGTTGATAGGCTCCCAGACAGCCGAACAACCAAGGTTCCTGACGGAGATGGCTCGACCCTCCAGTTGGGCTCCTTCCAGGTATTCTGCGACTCATCGGTACTTACCATAGGTAAGGTAAGGTAGGCAGGTAGGCAGGCAGGTGGAAGGGTAGAGATGGGTTTGCACTTGCCTTTCCAAATTGCCTCACCCTCTTGCCATGCAACACCAGCCTAGCAAGATGAGAGGTGTCCCGTTTGCTAGCCATCGGGGGGTTCCATGCCAAACTCGCACTTGACTGGGCCTCCCGCTTTGAAATGGATTTCAGGCGTTCAGACCCAACCCAAGTGACGAGTGCACCTGCATCACTACGCCATCAACCACACTAGCTAGCCATCAGCTACTTCTGCAACATGCAGCTCTGGCGCCTGCCGTGACGGTACCGGCTGTACATATAGCAAAACACACATATATGCAATACTCGCGAACACGGTCAACGCGATCTCTGGCCCTCTCTCTTTATCCCACTCTTCCTATCAAAAAGGCGCAATAGTGCACACGACTATTGGAAGCTTCTGCAGCCGTGCCTCGAGACTCTAACCCGCGTACCTGACCCAGCAACCCGTAACGAAGCCTTCCATCTTCCTTCCTCCCAATTACCTTCTACGGATACAGACATTGATTCCATGCAACTTCAACAATCCCTCCTACAAAGAGAAGGGGGAAATTTTATTTAGTTCTGAACGTCGGTTTCAAACAGTGACCCTGGTCTCCCGAATAAGGAGCCAGAACACAAGAGACGAGCAAGGCTGGACAAGGGCCACCCCAAACATCCCTACCCTGCCCGAGCTCATACCCCTGCAGTTTCCCTGGCGTCAGAGAGAGGCTAACACGTGCGTTTTGTCCTTTTCTTTTTTTCCCTCCTTCTCCCCCCCAATGTATAGTATGCTCTTTTGCAATGCCGTACTTCCCATGAGGACTGTATCAACTCAGGAACAGCTGCTGCTGTTATCAGCGCCAGGGAGTTGATCATGCCTCGACTTCCTAGGTCCTGATGTTAGCTACAGAGACAACGGCACGTTTTACTCGTCTTATTCGTGTAAACAGCACGGCACGGTGCAGTTGATTTTTTTTCTCCCTCAATAGAGTTGCCATCACGAATCAGTGCGGCAGAATCCAACACCACTCCAAACGAGGCGAATGTTCCCGCTCCCCCCGGAAACCCAGCCCACCAGTCACTTCGTTTTCATTCGGTGGCATCGCCTCCGGTGTCTTAAGTCCGATGAATGAGAAGCTGCTGTTGCGCACAGCTGTCCGCAGCAGTCACGATAATTCGCAAGTCAGCTCACTACAGGTAACATGAACTTTCCCCATTCACTGTATCCAGTATTGCAGATACACAAAGACTCATCAGCATCGCTTTGGCCCTCCTCTGGTGAGTCGACAGCTTCCTAGTTGAAGATGTGTGACTGTGACAACCCCAGCACCGTCAGGCGGATCGGCATCTCTTTTCCCATCAATCACCCATCGCATGCGTCAACGCGCAAAGCAGCGCGGGTACCGGGTATGGGCTAAATGACAATGCGCATCGCTCGGTGGGATTAGATGACATGGGCTCGATGGGATATCCGGGGGCCCAAAATGTGCCCTTGTCGGTCTCAATGCCCCCGTCAATGTCGTACGTGAGATCTGCGAGTCTCTCACTTTGGTTGAGGTGGTTCCCCCGATTCGCTTAGTAAACCTAGAAGAGAACACCAGCTTTACACCAAGTTTTATTGGGCCACCAACGCCGAGAGAACAGGCGAAGCAGACTTCCTTATTGCTTGCTTCTCACACTACTAGCCACAAGGAATAAGCAAACCACTTTGCGGTATGCCTCCGTGCACGAAATCGGCACTGAGGGTATGCTACCTCATTCTATAACTTAATAGGGGGTTTGCGACGCGACAAAGTGACTTCATCGGCAGCCTCATTCCTCCCTTTAATTGATTGCATGGCGTGGCGTGGCGCGAGCATGGGTGCGCGTCGTGTCATCGACCTTGAGTTTTCTCTCACCCGACCCTTTTGCCTACTCCCATGGCCTTCAGACAAACTGCATTCAGTACAAACACCTGCAACACGGCAGGTTTGCTAATGAATGACATTTCTCAACTTGGCTCTTCCATCAGCCACGGTTAGGAAAGAGCAATGTTGGATGCAAGGAAATTTATTAAAAAAAAAAGTGGCAACAAGCGCGCGTGTTAGACACGTCGTCTTTCTAATTGATTGGGCTTCATTCAAATAGCCAGCTTTGGACGTCAGACGAGACAGCAGAAAAGGGGGGGGGGGGGGCGCCGTCGCCGCGGCTTGTAAGCCGTCCTTACCGTACAGGCCTAAGGCGAACGAAGACAAGCCTCCGTAAGTGAGACGGGGGAGTCACAGGTGAAGCTTGAGAGGAGAGAAATGAGGTTGCTCGCGGAGCCCAGTGCCTGAATGTTGCCCAATATCCGAATTTCCAATTTACAAGCTTCCGTCACCCGTGCTTCCCCAGGCCCCTTCGTCTAATTCTGTCCCTCCTATTCCCCCATTCAGGCGGAAGAAAAGTCTGCTCTTCCCCCGAGTTGCAAATGGACTCTTTTCGGTCTCTACGACCCAAGATGGGGGCAGCGCGAGCGCGCTAACGGACGGGAGCACTATGTTAGGGGTGGGTAAGAGACTTGTTCTTCCGTCACTGCAAGCAAGCTTGGGGCGATGCTCGTGCTTTTCTCGTGACTTGTGTTGCCTTGGTTGCGCTGTGCTAATTGCCAGCCAGTCAGTCACCCAGTCCAGTCATTCTCCTTTCTCTGGGCTTCATCTTCCTCTCTCTGGTGCGTAACATGGGACTGGTGCCTGGTCATCGTAACGCTCTATATGCCAGTTGCCACACCATTTCGTTAGACTTTTCCCCTTCCCATGCTTGGCCAACCTCGCCTCGCTGCCAAACCCAGTGGCCAAGTCTCGGTATCATGACACGCAGACTCACAAAAAGGCAGAACACCTCACACGTTGACTCAGAGCCATCATGCAGTCACTCCCATGAAGAAAAACAGTCAAAATAAAACGACAAATCCCCGATTCTTTCTGCCCCTCCGTCCGAACGCGTATGCCCAATCAGATTGCAAAGACTCAATATGAAGATGCCCGTTTGCGCCGTTACCGTCTGCCGCCGCCAGCGACTTGCATGTATGGTACTACGGATCTGCTCGTGAGTCTTACTTAGCTGACTTGATGGTCTTCCCTGCTTACCCCCTGCCCGTCCCTGCTCATCATATCCAAAACACCCTTTTTCTGCAGTACCAGCGCCGCAGTGGTTGTCGTCACCGTACATGATGTGCGGACCCTAAACAGCCGGCGCTTACTGGCTGGTCGGGCTCTAGAATCTCAGGTACCTAAGGTAGCTAGCTACCTACCCGTAGTGGAAGGTAACTCAAGGTCGGCGCTACTTTGTAAGTTTATGTATTGTACTCAAGACGCGCTTCATCACCAAAGGGTCTCATCCTGATCGAGGATGGCTACAGGAGTGTGGGCGGTAAATATAGTATCCTTCCTGCTTTCTCTGCACAGGAGAAGTCGGCCAGAGCCGTTTGATCGCCGTCCTTTCAACTTCAAACATTCTACCCGTCCTTCTAGAATAGCCATTGTGTGCCATTCTGTAACTCACAACTCCGTGCACGTGCTTGAGGAATCACACACACACACACACACACACACACACACACACACACACACACACACACACACACACACACACAAGCGTTATCATTGAAGGAGCTAGGGGGAAAGGTAGCACGGAGTTGCTTCAAACATCTTCCTCGTCAAGGTCCTTCGCCTGTTTGCAGTTGGGTCTACCCATCCCAGATTCGTAAACACTGTAGAGATGATACATTCCCATCGTTATCCTGCTAGATGACCACCGCCTTGGCCATCGTTCTTGTATCTCATCAGCATACCTCGCCATGCTTGTTTCTCACTCCTCAACTCCGTCAGGGATCGCCTCCACGTCATCATTTACATCTTCTTCCGCTTCGTCTACCACTTCCAGCGGAGTCTCGAGGACCTCCATCTCCCCACCTCCGGCTATCGTGCCCTCTGCTTGCAATTGCTTCACTTTGGTGTTGGTCATCTGGTACACGTACTGGCCAAGATGCTCCACCCCTTCCATACAAACCTCTCCGGGGACTTCAGCCTTGACATCTCCAACATTCGGTCTCTCTGTTTGGTAGAGCTCGCCAGTGACAAGCATAAGCTTATCAGGTCGGGCCAAGAGCTGGTCGAACGCTTGCCGTAGCTCGTAGCATGCCTCGAATATCTCACGACGGCCAAGGATGTACAAACCCAGGCGCGCGCGAGAAAGCGCAACTGTCATGCGACGGATGTCACGAAGGTATCCAACTCTTGATGTGCGGGTCAACGAAAGAATAATATCTACAGCGTATTAGTTTCCCGTGCAGATCATCCAAGCTTCGCACTAATCGTAGAACTTACAGTCGTTTTGCTCGCCCTGGTACTTGTCAACGGTTGTTACAATCTTGGGCATGCCAAAGATCGTCTTGTCAGCGCATCGATGGGCCAGGACGTCTTTCACCAGGGCTCGCTGGCCAGCATAAGTGGTCAGAATGCTAATCTTCGATGCCGGATAGCCTAGAAGGCGCATGTATTGGTACACAGCCACTGCATACTCCGCCTCTCCAAGGTTTTGGATGAAGTGGGGAGTTGGCTCCGTTTCTCCACGTCCCTTGTAGTCGGGCACGTTGATGAACTGGTAGTCGTACTTGAAGCCAGCGTTCGCCACAGAGTATTCGCCTTCGCTCTCCACATGCGGCAGGTTGCCCAGCTTGGGGTACCGCCACTGATAGAGACTGGCGATGGATGGTCGAGCTCTGCCCTGCTGGTCCAGATTGATAGTGGGCACTCCAAGGCGGACAAGTCGCGAGAACAGCGACTGTTCAAGATTCGCGTAGTGCCGGAATGCCATACTCTGAATGACTGGGGAGTTCTGGAAGTGATCACCACATAGGACAACTCTCTGCAAGCTCATTTGCCCCTTCTTTGGCTTTTGCATAGCCAAGGGAATGAAGTTTTCGATCTCGGTGATTTGTGCAGCTTCCTCCATGACGACGTTGTCATAGTGGAATCCAAGGGAAGCAATTTCTCCACGTCTCATTGCTGCATGAGTAGATGTCATGGCAATGATTCGTGCTTCATTGGTCAGGAGATAGTTGGCCTTGTCCTTGTCTCGGCGTAGAATCTCGAATGGTATGGCGTCGGCCAATTCAGAGAAGATCTTTGTAATATGGCGGTAGCACCCGTTAGCAACATCAAGGATGGTTTCTCTGTTGGCCTCGGGTGAAAAGAGGGGCGGCGGCGCATCCGAAAAGAATTGATGGAAGGGGAAAGCGCCGACAATGTCAGCAGCTGAGGTCTCTTCCGCCTTGGTGATTTCGATGAACTTGGTCCAGGCTGGCTCGATATACACCGAGTGGAAGTAGCCGGCCGTTTCCGCAGAATTACCATGAGCACCAGGCGCACCAATACTGGCCGCCAGACGGTTGACCTCCAGCAAGTATCGATCTCGGTTTTCCAGGAAAGATTCGACACGACCGTGTTTGCTAAAACTGCCTTCGGTGTAGAGCTCTTCCTCGCCGTGTCCCAGACGAAGCAGATGACGGGCATCAATATCCAAGGCCACAATCTTTGCGAACAACTGGTTGAGCGCCTGGTTGCTGTGTGCAATCAAGAGCGTCTTCTGCTCCGGGAAGTTGTGATAGATGTTGTTGATGACTTGCGTTGCGACATCCGTCTTGCCCGTTCCAGGAGGGCCCACGATGACTGTGAGACCAGGCTGCGTTCCCGATGTGATCGCTTCTATCTGTGCTGGAGTAAATCGCACCTTGTTTAACTTCGGCGTGTCGACAGGATATGGGCCAGTGTTGGGTGGCTTATAGGTCGATACCTTCACTGTCTCCACCTCAGCCAGTAAGGCAGGCTCAGTGTCCCGACGACGCTTCTTGGATGGCTTTGATGAGGGTTCAACGGCTTGGCGCTCGGCAGTTTCCAACACATATGGAGGGCCAAAGCTGCCAGAAACATCATCACTCGGCTCCACAATCTTGCCTGGCAAGCTCCCAGTAAGATGCTGCCAATCCAAGAAAGTGTCTCGATAGTCGATGGTCTTGATGCGATTCGGCAACTGCTTGTAGGTGGCACCGGCAGGGTCGCCGTAGCCGAGGAAAACTTCATGAAACCACGAAGCAATCGGGACCTCTGAGAGTGTCAAGCTGCGAATAGACTCCAGTACGGGCTTGAAGTTGTTCTCCCTTCCGCTGCGACGCATGACAACGTTGATCCGCTCGTATGCCTCAGGCGGACTTGCAGAGGAGCGTTCGGCGTCCGCGGCATATGTCCTGGGATCCAGTCTCAACTGGAATCTCCGTCGGCTATCGTAGTGGCCTGAACCATCTCGAACCACCTTACCCTTATCGTCAGTGATCTGAATGATCTCGGCAGATCGGATAGAGATAATGCCGAGCTTCTCGGTTTCTGAGTGTGCACTATCTCCGTTCGTGGCGCTGTGGGAGGCGGGAGCCTGGATGGCAAGAAGGAAGACTACATCGTCTGGTCTCAGCGAGTCCCATTCACGCTTGATACCATCGTTCAGGCGGCGGACATCAATGGAGATCTCCGCCCGAACCAATGACGGTTTGTCATCCCCTACGAGGGCAGGCACAACTTCGAGGATTGAAGGTTTTGTAGTCGGCAAGGCCATTTTGGAGAACCCTTGGAAGCTGGTTTCACCCGGTCTGCGGCTTTCGGGTCGAAGGCGACGAATGGCGGACTCAACATCTTTCCTGATGCCGTAGAAAGACTCGGCACGGTACAAGACGAGTGATCTCCAGAGGAAGTCGCCAACTGAAAGGTACTGCAAGTTAAGCTTTGGCAAAGCCAGAGGATGGGAACCATCGTAATTCTCGGTTCTCATCACGTTGTTCTCGAACAGAGATTGCTCCGTGGGGACCAACGCCATGTCGCGAGCGATTTCCTGAAAGGATTTCCGCCGTTCAAAAGTGGTAAGAAGCGCCTCGAGGAGAAATTTCCTATCGATGCTCACTGACAAAGAGTCTGGATACGTTGTCCGGAGGCGAAGCAACCCTGCTAACTGAATAATCTCTTCGTCGGTCAGCGGTTCCAGAAGTCCGGCCAGCTCATCCCTCTTGTCAATTGAGCCGTAGTTTGACAACGCCAATACAGTGAGCTTTTCCTTGAAATGCTTCAGTGACGTCTTTTGAAGCCTTGACAAGTTTGCGCAGTGTTTATCATACGCTTCTGTCCGGCTCAATTGTGCGCCTGTTTGGTCATCGATCGTGAAAAAGGTGTAATGTCTGAGAAGTGCGTTTAGATCCCTCAGAAGACTGTTCTCCTCGTCATTAAAGACAGGAGACAGACGCATGGCGGGGAGAATGTGTAGGTCAAGCAGAAGGGTGTTGACATAACGTCGAGTAGGAAGCTGGCTTTGTAAGTCTGTCAGGAACTCGACAAAACGCTCGCAGTATAGGACTTGGTCTAATTCACGTCAGACATGCGTGCCTCCAGCTAGTTATATGACAGCTTCTTACCTGGCTTTGCGTTCTCTGTGTAAATCAAGCTGAGAAAGTGCAGGACCAAGCTGTACAGCCATGATCGATCAAACCGCAATTTCGCCTTCGTAGCGTCATCGGCAGCGTCATATCGTTTCCCTGCAGCACGCCATGCCTTTCTCACATGCGCGTGCTGCTCGAGCTTCTCTTCGCGTAGTTCTTCAGTCGACAAGCTGTGCCATATCGAAATGGAGACCAACGGTGCGCACTCTTTCCTCACAATCGCGCAGTCCAAGCTCTGGAAGGCCGAGATCAAAAATGACAGCAGGTGTGTCCGAATCGCAGGCGAAAGTGTTTGGTCGAGAGTCAGAGATAGGATTCGGCGAAACAGGCCCGAGAATTCGTCTGGTCGATCCTCGAATATGCTCCATGCCTCGAGTTGCTCACGGCGCTTCACGTTAGCTAGCAGGACCAGTAGTAAGACATGATGGTTGGAGGAGTCGTCGGAGTATCCGGGCCACAGGTAACTAAGGGACATCAGGATCAGCAAATATCCAAATATCAGTGTAATTGTACATACCTCTCGAGAGTCTGCAAGCTCTCCAAAGTCAAGATAGACTTATACGGGAAGCCATCACGTTCCAAAACATCCCATATCTCTTGCTTGAGAACATCGTTCTTGACCTTGACCTTGGTCGCCCTCTTGCTCCTTGTCGTCTTCAACCAATGCTTCTTTGCCAATTGAGCGAATGCGCTTTCCCCCTCGATATCGGCAACTGTCGGACGGTCGCTCGTGGCCTTTGTTTGGGATCGGGTTGACGGCGCAGCTTGAGCCTCGCTGCTCTTCTTCTGCCTCTTGGCTGTCGGCATGGTGCTTTTCAACTTCGGACAAAGAGGAATGCCAATATGCGCGATTGCATGCTGGTGAGGAAAAAGGCGAGGCGGGTATCGATTTGCTGTGGAAAATTCGATGCGCAGTCGCGCAATTGTTGAAAGTGACGAAATGCAGAGCTCGTCCACCTCTCAAAAATTTCAGCCTTGCTTTTCGGGCAAGTCGCACTCTCAGATGAAGGTGAGTTGGCTGGTGGTGCAGGTTCCCCACGCGACAAACCTACGCGATCAGTCTTCCCCCAGTGTTTGCTTGCAAGCTACAGGGCTGCTCACTGGAGAGCACCTGAGTCGCGAGGTGCCTATGGGTGTCTCAAAAAGGTGCTGTAAACTTCTTCCAGGGTGGTAGCGCCAGTGGCTGGACCCACTTACCTTAGACTTAAGGTCGTTGTTTGCGACGTACCTTACCTTACGGATACCTCCACTACGGGAACTGAAGCTCGACCGATCGTGAATTCTTTCAATCGGCAACGCTGCGCATTGCGAACACATTTCCGCAACGGAGTCTTCAACACACCTAGCGTCGAGAGGGAACGAAACGCGACGTCCATTCGACCAGCCAAACCTACCGTCACATGGCATATATGGCTAAGCTTTCCTCGCTTCTACACAACTAAGCGCAGTCTCCCGACCGATCCCAAGATGCCGGCCGCCGTCACGCCTCAGCGCCATGAGGTGCCCGGGGTCGTTGCATTTGCAAAATTGCTGGACGGCCTCCTGGCTCGCTCGATGGAGGTCAAGTCTACACCCACCATCGAACCAGCATTACAAAAGGCAGACTTTGGTGATCTGCAGGAACAGCTTGCTCGCGTGCTTGCGATTCCGGGAGTCTCAGAAGAGAATGGCGTCGGCATTGCGATTCAGAACAAAGCCCAACAATTCGCTATCATCGAGACTGCCGTAAGAGATATGTTCAGCAATCTGATTGTAGGTCGAACTCAATTATCCTCGCCAGGCATCAATTGACTAACAACATCCTTCTCGAGGCCACGACACCCATCGAATCCCCAGATTTCGTCAAGGTCTGGAACTTGTTTGACCTCCTGACTGTGCTCTCCGACGACGAAAAATGCGACCCAGCCTTGTTATTCTGGCTGGTGGAAGAACTCCTGGACAGCCAAACAATCGCCGGATGCCGCAAGATCTTCGACTTTCTTGAATCGAGACGCGAGAGGATTACCGTGAAGCATTTCAAGCAAAAACAATTGGTGATCCTTCGTAGCTGTAACGAACTCCTGCGACGTCTCTCTCGAGCTGAGGATACTGCTTTCTGTGGTCGCGTCTTCATCTTCATGTTCCAGAGCTTTCCCCTGGGAGACAAGAGCTCCGTCAACTTGCGAGGAGAATACCATACCGAGAATGTCACTGTCTTTGACGATTTAAGTGCCAAGGCTGAGGAGACTACCGAGCAAATGGACGTGGATAGTCAGACGGGGGCTAGGGAAACAGAGTCCAAGTCTCAACCAAAGGCCGTTTCATTTGACGCGAAGAAGTCACTGCAGAGCGATCAGCCGCTTGAGCCAGATGCTCTGTATCCCTTGTTCTGGTCTCTGCAGGAGACTTTTAGCCAGCCCAAGAGATTGTTTGATCCTGCCCACTTGAATGAGTTCAAGCGCGGCTTAGAAGCGACAATGACATCTTTCCGAGCAATTCAAAGCGAGCAGGGTCAGCGGCCGCCAAAAGCGGTAGATGAGGCCCAACGAGGCTTCAAACGGAAACGAGCAGATGTGGAAGAGAGCGACTTGGCAAACTCATACAATCCCAAATATCTGACAAGCAGAGACCTCTTTGAATTAGAGGTAAGCAGTGGCACATCATGCTGTGTGGCCCTCAGACTGACTGTCCTAGATGAGCGACATTTCTTTCCGCAGACACATCCTCGTTCAAGCCTTGATCATCATGGATTTCCTTCTCTCTCTTTCCCCGAAAACAAAGGAGAAACTGGCCGGCAACGCTCAAAATAAATCGGTGATTTACCTCGGCCAGGTTCTTACCGAAGAAGACGTAAGTGGCGGGATTATATCCGTGAACAGTTAAAGAGGCAGACTGACATGGAGACAGACGAAATGGGCGACAGAGATGAAGAAGACGATTGTCGACAAGTACCTCAAGCATGGGGTTGACGGTCCGTATTTCAGTCGAATGGTCGAAACGGTCCTTGCCAGAGATAAGAACTGGATTCGTTGGAAGTCGGAGAACTGCCCATCAATAGAGTTGCCCGCAGTATCCCCAGAGACATTTGACGAGGCCAAAAAGGCAGCTCAGCGTACAACGACAAAGAAGCGATTAAGGGCCACGCCGATGGGGTCTCTACCCCTCGGTTTCCTGGATGATGGCGATGACGAGCGTGCGATGAAGAAGCTCAAGGCCCTGGAAAGATACAGCCTGCCAGAGCTTGAGAGCTTCAAGGGGAAGATTGCCAACGACGACTTTGAGATCGACATGTCAAACACCCCCCAGGAAAAAGCGCCTTTTATTGAAAGCAAAGCGAGTAAGAGTTGGCGCGCCCTCCGTATAGCAGGCAAATCAAGGTTGGCCTCATTCGACAAGATCGACGATCCGGAAAAGATCGACGCCATATTTGAGGAACCGGTCGATGTAGACGAAAGCGAGGCTGCCGAGGAAGCCGTAAAATCTGAAGACGTTCCCGAAGACAAGCGCCCAATCATACTCTCAGGACCGCCCGGTGCAGGGAAAGCGACACTTTTTCAATTACTCGCAAGCCGACGTCCTGGAGCTTTTAAATACGTGCCACGGCATACGACGAGAAAGGCACAAGAAGGCGAGGCTGAGGGCAAAGTCTTCTACTTCGTCGAGAAACAGGCCTTTAACATGCTGAGAGATGGCGATGCGTTATTGGAGTTTACCACGATAGATGATGTGGACTATGGCACGAGTCGGAAGGCTTTAGAAGCGGTTGTCGAGGGTGGCAAGGTCCCAGTCACCTACATGGATAGCGAGGTAAGACATCTCCCTTCTCTCCCAAGTAAAACTGAAATTTTATTGACCGAAATATAGGCCATCCAACAAACTCGCGACCTTGGCTACTTGGCACGGACAATTCTTATCTTGCCACCAAGTAGGGAAGTTTTGGAAGAACGCTTGCGAAAGGCGGAGAAAGGCGATTTGGTTGCAGACGCCCTTAGCAAAGCTGCTCCCTACTGGGAAGAAGACTCGAAGTTAAAGGATGGGTTTGATTTGGTTCTGACCAACGAGGAGCTCGACGCCACTTTCAAGACGCTGGAGGAACACATCTATGGCAAAGCCGAAGAGGCCGAGCTCAGCAATGGCAAGCCAGACAACGAGGCAGCAGTAGATGAAGCGGACACTATCATGGACGATGCTCCGGTAGAGGCGCCGCAAGAACCCCAGGAGTCTCAAGAAGCTCAGGGAGTTGAGGAGACCGAGAAGACCGCGGAAGCACAAGAGACAGAAGAGACCAAAGAGAAGGTCGACGAGGCCAAGGCTGACGAGGTAAAGGAGGCATCCTAGGGAAGTAGGTCTCCAACCAGCGTCAGCCGAGAGTGCAGGCGCGCGCCTTCACCCAGACCAGCCAACTGGCCAATTCTCGGGACTAGATATTGGTAGAAATTCATGATACCCAGTTTTTCCAGTCATTTTATCAACGGCTCCGTCTCTGCCAAGCGTGAATGGACGACGAAAACCCAGAGGCAACCTATTATTTACATCGCCATGATCTTTCGATACGATAGCCCTGATGTACGGCGACAAATACTGACTGTCCTCGATATGCAAGACCCATCTGGATGCCTGGTGGCACAGAATGTCCTCGCCACAACACGAAAGGGGGCCGGTCCTCAACATTAATTTTAAAGTGGTAAACTATCTCTGTCCATCATCCGAGCAAGATCTACATACATCATCCCGAACCCGAAAACTGACATCTCGCATAATTCCACATTCTCACCCTCCCAGCAGCCATGCTAAGGCCCCTGAGTAACGGCAAAAATGTTCCCCAAGAGCCCCTTGAACTTGCCATTCCTCCAATCTTTCCACTCGTGATTCATGGCACCCCACGTCTCGTCGAAATCAACCGCCTTGTTCCGCACATAATACGACCCCTGAATCGCCCACAACGCCCAATCCGCGTCATTGTCCTCGAGATAGCCCACAAGGCAAGTCAGGTACGCGTGCTCCTCGGCCGACAGCCCGTCCTCGCTCCCGCCCTGCATGGCGGCCCCAAACTCGGACATGAACAGCGGACCGGTGTACCCTTTACCCTGCTCCAGCACGAAGCCGAACAGGGCGCCGTACTCTGCCTTTTCAACATTGCAGTCTCCGAAATTTGGCGTCGTCACCGTGAAGCTGTAGCTATGCGCCTCCCACACGTTCTTCCCCTTCCACGCGCTTGTATCGAGGTTCTTCGTCCGTAGCGGGGAAAAGTCCGTGGCCGAGTTGAGGCCCCCGATGATGACGAGCACGTCCGGATTTGCCTCGTGGACGACTTTAGCCCCGCGCGTCACGTAGCCGTACCACTGATCCGCGGCAAAGGGAATCTGCGTCCAGGTGGCGCGCAACTCGTTGCGGATGGAAATCGCCGCGACGCCCGGTCTGGTCTTGGCCCAGAGGCTCATATGCTGCAGGCCCACGAGCCAGTCGTCCGTGTCAAAGTAGCGCGAGTTGGCGGCCCAGTAGAACCGCGCGTCTTTCCACCAGCCGTTGCCGTCGTCGAGGTTGCAGCACCAGGAGGCTTTGCTGACGTGGTTGTCGAGGATGGTCATGATGTCGCGCTCCCAGAGGACGTCGATGACTTTGCCAAAGACGTCGCGCTGCGTTATGTTGCCGTCGGCGAGGAACGGGTTTTGGACTAGGGCCTGGTCGTACAGCTTGAGCAGGTCGGCCTCGGGCACGCCGGCTGCTTTGGCGCCGTTGACGAAGGAGTCGCGGACGGTGATGCCCGGGTTCGTGGCGTGGTCTGTCGAGAAGGTGAGGCGCACGCAGTTGAAGCCTTGCTGCTTGATCCAGTCGGCCAGGTACTCTATCGGCTGCTTGTGGAGACCCTCAGGGAGGTTGACCTCCATATGGCCGGCCCAGTTGATGCAGCGGAGTTTGACGCGGGCGTTGGACGAGTCTGTTATCCAGCGAGATGTTGAGAAGAGGGGGAGTTGCGGCTTTTGGGCAAGGACGGGTAGGATGAGGGACCAGGCGGCCCAGAGGATAGGGACGAGCCTCATTGTTGGCGTTTTTTTTCTGATATTGTTGATATCAAGACGGTACTTTTACTATCGCGTTGTTGTGATATCGCCCTACGAGCTGTTTTATTCCCCCAGATCACTACGATCGTGTGTCGATATAGAGATACTAGACAAAGCTCTAGTCTTTGAAAGCGTCGCCAAGTCAGACAGCCTACGGATGGTCGACTCTTAGTGCTAATAAGTAGCCGAGAAGCAGAAGAAAAGAAGTAATATAATACGCGCGGGGCAAACGTCGATCAGGTATGAAGCATCCTGATCTGCCAGATCAAGTACGCAGAAAGTGCCGAAATAGTCCACGAGGACGTCCTAATGGAACCTTGAAGGAGAGCAGCTGAGGGAGCCCCCCAAGAGACAGAAGGGCGACTGACTACCTGCAGGTCCAACAGAAACCAGCGATACAACCCTTCGGGCAGAGAAAGTGCTCGCCCTGCTCGCAGAGAAAGGTGTGGGCGAAAGATCGAGAGAAAGTCATTCAAAAACAACGCCGAGGTGATAGCACGCGACCCTTAACTGACCTACCCTATATATCATTGCTCGTAAATGCCTAGGCCGCCCAAACGGAAGTGCGAGTAGAGAAGACGTCGCCTCCCTAGAAGAAGGGGGCCTCCATCTGGAGAGGTTCCATCCATACGGAGCATCGATCAATCACATCTGTCAAAAGCGCTTCTCAAAAGGTGTAGAACTTCGGACGAATAGAGTCGGCGCAGTATACCGAGCCCATGCTCTCCTTACGACAGGGTTGTATCCCGTCCGTCACTATAGGAAAAGATAAAGCAGCCGGAGAGCCAAACAACCCATGAACACGCCTATACTCGACCGCAAACAACCAACACTTAACTACTCTCAAAGCAGTGCCCTAAGTTGTTGATCCAAACCGTCACAGAGCCAACAGCAGAGAAGAAGCGTACCGAGACCTCTTTCTCTTCGTCAGGTCCCCCCCGCCATAGACAGGGGTAAGCCGTTGCTGGACGCATGGCCGTTGCGGCGTGTGATTCGCCTGTCTCGGCCAGGAACGGCATTTGCCATGCAGGCATTTCACAAGGTTAAGGTCAAGGTCTGTCGGGGTGTCGTCCAAAGAGCCAAGGGGAAAGCTCAGAGGCGAGAGCTTACTATGCAGAGGAAAGGTGTGGGTGGTATTCAAACGCGCAGAAGGCCCGTAGACTGAAAAGGAACCGGCGGCGGAGGTGAGGTTGGTGTGGCCGGGACGCGGCGCCATAGGACCGTCCGATAAAAGAGGGTCCACGTCACCCGACCGGGGCTGGAGCTGGACAACACTAACAGAGGTCTGGGCTGTTTGCGCCACTCTCATTCGCCACACCGTTTTTTTCTTCGCGTCCCCCCCTTCCTGAGTTCCCTCTCATAATTCTTAGTACCAAAGCCCTCCCACCTCCAAAAGTTGGAGAAATAATATCTTCAGCGCTATTGGTCAAGTTCGGCCAAAGCGGTCATCAAGTCAATAACACCTGCCTGGTCTGGTTTGCCGTGGGAGTCTGCTAGATCCTGTGTCACAAGAGGCAATAAATGACTTGCCAGTGACCTAATGAGAATGATCATTTCTTGACATTCCTGTCGTTCAGGGGGCTTTCGTCTGTGCAACAATGGCCGGTCTAAGCACAGAAGCCTTCGCATCACTGAGCGGCAATGACAAACTCAGAAATGCAGTAGAATATTTATTCATTATTATCGTCACTCGTAACCCGCCTCCTCATATTGAGACGGCCAGCAGTCAAAGTCTGCCTATAGTATCACACTAAGGTAGGGTATACTAAAACAAAGTGGTTGGCTAATAGGCTTCTTTCTCCCAAGAGTGGCCTGGCCTTTTCCCTCTCGTTCTCCCAAGAAATGCACCAGCGCCCGAGTCGTCGTCGTCTTCTCGACACTCGACCGTAGCTGCAGCTGAGTAGCAAAAGCTATTAGCAAGCATTTCTCTCCGGCTCCTCGACTCTGTAGAGTCCCAAATAAATATCGTTGCGTCATGCTTCGTAAACAAAAGAAAGAAAAAAGGCTGTGGCAAAACTCCCGCTAAAAAAGAAAATCCTGTGGGTTGCCTAGTAATGACTTGCAGCTTCATGCCGCATTTGTAGTGGGCTGGTTTCCTCCTGTAGGACCCCGCGTCTCGAGCTCTCGTCTCTTGGCGAATAAGCTCTTGAATGCGCCAAGGCAATGAATCAAAGATTCTTCGTCGTGGGCGCAGAATCGGTAGCTCTTTTCCTCCGTAATGAGCTGCAGACAGTGCTTCTTGGTCTTGCTGACCGGGTCAATGTCAACCACATTAACAATTGCCGACATTGGTCGAATGAACTGCGCCGTGTACTCGGACTCGTCCTTGTAGAGAATAAAATTTCTCGGCCGGAGCACACCCCAAAGGTTCTTCCATTGCTTCACGCCGCCCTTGCTGCGGAGGAACCAAAGCCAGCCCTGCCAGATGACGCGATCCGGATCTTGCTCAATGTTGAGACCGCTAAGTTGGCTCGCATTACGGTCAAGACCTGGCCGGTCCTGGGTGCCTTTGCTCGGCAACTGGACCGCCAGGTCTTCAATGGACATGCCCTGTATCCTTTGAATCTCGTTGTCTGAGAAGTCCGAATGCGAGGCGAGTTCGTTGCCTGAGTACCCAGCGGTATCCGCCATCTGCGATGGACGTCGATGGGTTGAGCCAACAAAGCGCGGCACTGGAGGTTCCAGCGGCTCAGGAGAGCTTGATCCAAGCCTTTCAGTTCGTGCCATGTCTCCAGCCTGGGCGGATCTGCCAACCACAAGGTAGGATTGCCGCTTGCCATTCGGGCTGGCAAGGAGCAGCTCATCATGTTCCTCTTCAATACGGGCATGACTCCTAATCAAATCCACCCATTCCTCTGCATCGTGGCTACTGCTAGCCTGAAAGTGGTAGTTCCTCGCTGGCGAAAAGAGTCCAAACACGTTCTTTCTCTTGTTTTTGGGGTCCTTGAGCAAAGCAACGGCGGTTAAGTCGGCGAGGTACAGCTTGTGTCGCAGCTTGTCCTCCTTGTCGGATCGGTAAATTGAGAGTGAATTGGGTCGGAGGACGAAGTAAATTGACTTCCAAGTCTACACAATTGGTCAGAAATGGTCCTCAAGCGTAAATGGATACGGGTCCTACGAACCTTTGTCTTCTGTGTGCGCTTCTGCAGGTAGCCGCTCTTCACAACACGGTCGAACTCGAAGCTGCCGTTTTGATTAACGGGCGACGAATAGGTGTCTAGGGCCAAGCGGCTTCGAAGTCGAGAATTGGGATCGGTGGGAAGAGATATCGAGGATGGTGGGATGGTGACGTCCAAGCTTGGTGCCGGATGCGGCGTAGGCAGCTGAATCTGCGACTGGGCCATGGTCGTCATGATGAAGATATTAATTCGTATCGTGTGGTTGTGGGTGAAAGTAGGATGGCAGTCGCGTAAAGTCGCACATTAAAGAGATTCCCGTGCAAAAAGTCCGTCCGGGGAACGATACGACGGTGGGCGGAACGGGCAAAGACGTAAAGTTGCCGAAGAACGAGAGACTTGTAGAAAACGGCGGCGGCGGGTGAACAAGCGATGCGACTAAAGCAGGCAGTGCCGGCAGCGTTGGGTCTCCGGGTATTAATCCAGGTATCGGTAGGTAAGGTAGCCAAAGGATTTCTGCAAGGTCAAGTCGGGTGTTGGACGAGGCAAAAAGAAGTCGAGGTGGCTGGAAGTGGATATACCGAGTGGGAGTCGCGCGTCGGTGGTGGCTCTATTATCGTGCCCTTGCTCGATTGCCGTTGTATTTTTGCTGGGACCGACTGGGGCGTTGTTTATGCTGATTGCTGCCCTTGCAAAAACGAGAGAAGGACCAGAAAATGTGTTTGGACACAAAGGTAAATGGTTAGAAACGAGTGTGCAAGGCGGGTCGAGACGGGTCGCGCGCGCAGTGTTGCTGTGGAAAGGGGGGGAGCAGAGAAGGAGAAGGAGGAGCTTCAGCGTTGACTCCTTTCGCACGGGCGTGTCGTGTGTAGATGTCTTGTGCCGGGGGGGTTGAGAGGTCAGGTATTTGAGTGGTGAAACTTGGGATGCCAAGGAAAGGAGACGAATCTCGAGTTTGAGAGGCAAGTGATGGCAGCAAAGGGATGAAGAGCGCTGTGTAACGGATGGAGGGGGGGGGGGTCGGGTAGAGCGGTATGGTGTTTGATAAAAAATTATTGGAATGTCAAGATGCGGTGAGGGTCGACGGGCTTCGCAGCAAGGTAATGTAGTCCCTAAGTATCCGTAGCGCCGTGTCAAATACCTCTCAAAAGAGTGACGGAGTCAAGCCGCAAGCCTGATACAGTGTGGTGGAATTGAGGACAGGTCAAGTGCCGAGTATTTACTCAGCGGGGGCGAGATGCGATGGAGTAGCCAAGGCGTGGGGGAAGAACCTGAAGCTATGGTACGGCTTCGAAACTGGAGAGTGAAAGAGGAGAAAGAGGAGAGGACCTGACGGGATGTACGGGAGACGGGAGTGAGTTGACAATGACGATGCCGGAAGAGCTCCAATGGCGGTGACGAGTGACGGGATAGCTACGGAGACATTGGACGAGTCGAAAAAAGTCTGGAATTAAAAGTCTCGGCCCCAAGCCAAGCTTGGTGGTGATTATAATTGCAATGGTGCCCGTCAGAGTTAAGCTTTGAGGGGAGGGGCGCTGATCGGCACAGCGATGTCGCAGGAAAAGAAGAAGCAGGGCGCATTGCATCAAGCTTGAGAGAGAGAAAGAGAGATCAGAGGCGCCATCTGAAGGTGGGCGAATGGGCGCAGAGAGGACAAAATTAGTTTGTGGAGTCCCTTTTTCTTTAATGCATTGCAGTGGCATTGGACCATTGGTACCAGGTTGGCATTGTTGACGAGATGATATTGTAATGTGACTTGTAAGGTACCTCTTGTCCCAGGGGCAGATATGGGGACTTTGGATGTAGATGGTACAAGTATCTTGCGTTATGCTTACTGCGTTTCTCTTGCTGTTTTGACTACCTATCATGTACACCCATCTAAGGTAATCAATGCTCAATTCAGGTACACCCGAGGGGGATCATCAAACCAATAACTGGTCAAGACCCCACGGGCAGAACAGAAAGAAGCGCAGCGAGTCGCAGACGCGCGCATTGCTCTGGGCCACATCTCCTAAAGTGCCTCGTGGGGCTTGGTGAGGGGTTCTGCGGAGAGGACTCCAAGTCAGCTCACCAGCTCCCATTTGAGTGGTTGACGGTGTCTGAAATCAAAGAAACAAGAGCAGCCCTTTGAGAGGTGACAGGCTTGGGGGACAGGGAAGAGGTGGTCGGGAGTCGAGGGGATTCAAGGGAAATGGTCATTGGCGCATCTGAGCGCTTGAGCGTACCTGCTGCAGTACCTACTTGCTGCATGGAAAGCGTGGAATACTTACACAAGGTACATACTTGCATATGCCTCACTCCCGTCTCTTGCCCTACTTGTATATGTACAGTAAGCCTTCTGCTTGTCGGCTGAAGGCATCAAGAACATTTAGGTGTATTGTACTTGGCTCCTAGGTACAGACACTGCAGAGCCTCAGGCGCCCTCAAATACCTTAGAAAGCACGTGCGACTTTTATCGCCATCAATGGCTAAAGTAATAGTGGCGGGCCAAGAAGTGGGTGAAGCACTGAGCGACCAGCACCGCCCCGTTTCACCCCCGAAGCTGTTTGATCGAGTGGTTGGGATGCAACTCCAAGTCTCCCAGTCCCCGCCTGCCAGCCATTCGCCAGACAGCAGCAGTGGACTACGGAGTAGGTACGGAGTAGACGTTGAAAAAGTCAGGCACGTCCTGAATCATTGGATAATGGATAGGTAGTAGGAAAAGGGGTAGGTCGCGACCACCGTCTCACTACAAACGCTTCTGCGGCTCTACCCTACCTGTTCTGGATCGCTCGGCTGCATTGGCCATTCACTGTTTCCCATGTGGGTCGCCTTTCTGTTCCAAATAGAAGAATCTCGTCCCATCTCAATGCCTGACTCCCTGACTCCCTCGTGCCATGTGTGTTGCTAGACCAAATTCCCGACTGTTGCGTTTTGCTTTCCCCAGCACTTTGGTTTCTGACGGTCCGAACATGTGCCCCAAGTCTCCATTTCTTTCCGTTCCTGAATTTTTGCGTTAGGCTTTATTCTGACGCTGCTCCCTGTCCGTACCTTGTACTCCGCATATCACAAGCAAATCACTTTGATAAGCAGGGCGCTTGCAAACTTTCTTAGCTAGATACGGATAGGAGAACAGTAATTACACTACGCCCAATGCTTTTCTCAATTCAAACAAGATCCGAAGCGCGTTATTTCTTAGGCGCCCAGACTTGGCCTCAACCTCGTCAACCGAGCGCGCTTAGGCGTCATACGTCCGTGGTCTACTTGCATTCTATCTCCCTTCTATTTACGAGCCCATTGCCCATGCACAACATGCGGTCCGTCACTTTTCAGTTCATCCGAGCAAGCTAGAGATACGCTCATATCCACTACGCATCAACGTCATGTTCCAGCTTTAATAGTTGCCGCCCTTTCAACTTGCGCAAAGCAGTCCCGGTCCCCTGCCAAGACTACACGTTGTATGAGCGCGGCTCCGAGACGGATCACCCTGATATCCTGCCATGCCACGTCCCATCCGCTCGGTAAAGAGCTGTCAGAGCTATTCGCGGGTGTTCTTTCCCAGTCGAACTTGTTCCGGAGCACACCTCCGCCACGTTGATTCCTCTCCAGAGCCGCCCACAGAATCAATCCATCGGGAAGAGCGGTGAGGTGCTCAGATAAGCATGTTTGCTCACGGCTCATCGAACCGTTCTTCCGTGGTGCTCAACCCCCAGTCAGATCAGGATCTGGCATATGTTAGTGTCCAAGACCGGTGCGGCCCGGTGGTTGGCCGCTTATTCTCTTTTATGCTGCTGTGGCTGAACTCGAATTGGAACTATCCAACCACCCAATTTCGAGTGGGTCATCCTTGTCCCGACAGAGACAAGGTATAATATTCCAGACCGTCTCAAGCCAAGTCGAAAACCACCAATGTGCTCTGGTGAGACTGTAATTTTGACCTGCAGAGGTCAAGGGCCATTTGACAAGAGACTGGGGTTTGGAGTTGCATGTGTCGTTTGATCTACTTACACTGCCAAGGGAAACTACTGCTGTTCCACTTCCTCCCGCTGCCCATCTTCAATCTCCTCCTACCTCTAAATTGCACAGAAGTCATTTTCAGCGTGAAAAATGGGTTGTTTCGACTACCTCTCGGACGTAGCACAGCGGTCAGCAACGCCATGGCCTCTGTTTACATCCAGAAAGGCATGAAACATCCTTGTCGTTGGAACCCATTAGAGGCTTACATGATCAGCCATGGTTGTAAGCATGCCGAGGTCGTTGGTAGTGGATGGCGTTGTTTGACCTGGTATACTTCGTCTTTCATCGGGCCTATCAGTGGGTGTAAGTGGTGGATCACATCAAATGTCTCACAGAACAGCTTACCTTATCTTTAGTCAGGCGCGGTGCCCTTGTAGGCCAAGGTCCTGTGATAGTTACAAGTTATCGAGAGCGTCGGCCTCGACCTCAGTATTGCGAGGCTTAGGTCTTTCTCTGTAATTCTCGCTTGGATATGAGCTCGTCTGACGCGAAAGCCCAAATTTGTGTGCCCAAATTTGTGTGCCCATTAGAGAACGAAGAACTCAAATATTCATCGACACAGGGATGGTCATCTCGGTGAGCGAGCAAGCCGAGCTGAGGGCAGAACTTTGGATTATTCTATGATCGGACTGCCCTTTCCGCGCTTGGTGTATGACGCATGCTTCATTGTGACAACTAGAATTTGTGGTAGATGGTCTTTCAAGGTGGAGGAGGCAAGGCATAGTGCCGGTACTGAGCATCCATACATTTTGTGATACTCTGGACGAATGATTGTTCGTGACGACCAGCAAAGCAATCTAGTAAGTGGGTGACTTGGATCAGTTTCTCATTTGACAGTATCTTTCGAGGTCTACGGGTTTCGCGATGCGATGGAAGAGATTGAAACTTCACGCCGAGTGAGTCATCTGCCCTTTAGCTGCAGGTTGCTGCTGCCCTGTTATTCAACCTGTCCTGGGGAAGCGACACCCCGATCAATTTGTTGGGAGATAACGAAGAGAAAGAGCGTTCCCAGCGGTTTTCGAATGAAGCCCGTCGTCTCCTTAGTTTAGTACTCGAAAGTATTCCAGTGATTTCTTGAACTACCTCGTGGGTGACGCAAACTTCACACCCCCTCATTCTCCAACCCGGTGCAGATATCGCAAGCTATCCCCGCTTTCCCAGACCGGTGACAAAACTGCCCTTATTGAGCTTCGGCCGCAAATCCCATAATTGCGATGGCAGACGAAAGCACATCGGATCGTGTGCTTCGTGAGGTCAAGGCGGAGTTGGCAGGTACGCCATACTCCCTCGAGTCTGCCCGCCTTCTCAGTGGAGGAACGACAAACTTCATTTTTCACGTGAAGCTGCTGGAGCCACTGCTCGATGGGACTGCAGAGGTAGCTGTAAAGCATGGCGAGGGTTTCGTGGCCCAGAGCCCCGATTTCGAACTCCCCACGTCAAGATGCGTGAGTCCCTATATCTTCGACCAGTAGGACATCAATGGCTGACCTCAGGCAGCGGATCGAAGAGAGCTGTTTGAAAGACCTCTCAGCCCTTTCACCACACACCGGCGAGAAGATCACCGTAGCAACTCCGAAGCTGTTCTACTTCAATGAAGAGACCAATACCCAGGTTCAAGCGTACCAGCCAAGCCCACTCAGCCTCAAGAACTATGCAATTGAGTACTTCGCAGCGTCAACCCTTGAGGCGCCAACTCTGGAGACACCGACTCTAGAATCAGTCAAGTCACCATCCCTCAAAATTGGTACGGCTGTGGGTGCGTGGCTCCGGTCATTTCATGACTGGAGCAACTCGGAACATCAGCTCAAGTTTCGCGATATCGCAGCGGGAAATAAGGAAATGCAAACGCTGAAGCGATGGATGAACTATGAACGGCTCCCCAGTTCCATCAAGCGATTCCCGGATATTCTAGGGGGTTGTAATGATATCTTTGCAGACATCGTGGACAGCGTAAAGGAGGAAATGGTAAACGAGCAAGCCCTGCAGGTCATCCACGGCGACTTTTGGACCGGAAAGTAAGCTGCCCCAATCATTTACATTCTAATCATGCTACTAACAATTTATTAGCATTCTTCTAGAAGGGAAACCTTGGGACGACGAACATAGCTGCCTTCTTGTCGTCGATTGGGAGATGTGCCAACTTGCAGTCAAACCTCTTGACCTAGGCCAGATGATTGCGGAACTATACGAATTGAAGCTATACAAAGACATGGAAGCGGGAATCTGGTTGATCCAAGGTTTCGTTAACGGCTACGGTGCAGTGGATGACGACTTTGCGTTCCGAACACTACTTCATGTTGCCGTTCATCTCATCGGGTTTGGCACATCAGTACAGGGCTGGGGCTCGCAAGACCAAGCGAGGGCAGTGGCGACTGAGGGCAGGGACATTTTGAAGAATGCTTGGGCGAAGGACCGCGGATTCTTTGAGAAGCATCCCCTAGGCTGCGTCTTTTCATAAACCCGAGTTGCATTCAACTAGAATCTCGTTGTGACGCGACAGGTTACTTAGTTCTGTACGATGGAAATCGATTTCAGTTGACGCTAGTTTTGTTGTTCGAGCACGAAGACATATGATATAACATCTTGTAGGTATATAGGACATCGTCTTCTTCCTCATTTTTCATTACGGAAGGTTGAACACTGTTTTCCTCGGCGGGAAAGGATGTGCATGAACAGATGAGAACGACGTCGGTTGCCTAAAACATGA